AAACCTAGGATAGCTAAAAGAATCCTGTACAATAAAGCAATTTCTAGTGGCATCACAATCCCTGACTTCAAGCTCTATTATAGAGCTACAGTAATAATAATAAAAAAAAAAACAGCTTGGTACTGGCAACAACACTGACATGTGGACCAATGGAATCGAATTGAAGACCCTGACATTAATCCACACATGTATGAACATCTGATTTTTGACAAAGAAGCCAAAACTGTACAATGGAAAAAAAGCAAGCATCTTCAACAAATGGTGCTGGCATAACTGAATGTCAACATGTAGAATGTTGCAAATAGATCCATATCTGTCATAATGCACAAAACTCAAGCCCAAGTGGATCAAAGACCTCAACATAAATCCAGTTACACTGAACGTCAATTGACAGAAGAAAAAGTAGGAAGTAGTCTTAAATGCATTAGCAAGGGAGATCACTTCCTAAATATAACACCAGTAGCACAGACACTGAGAACAACAATTAATAAATGGGACCTCTTGAAACTGAGAAGTTTTGTAGGACAAAGGACATGGTCAATAAGACAAAACTACAGCTTACAGAATGGAGAAAGATCTTCACCAATGTCACATCTGCAGAGGGCTGATCTCCAAAATATACAAAGAACTCAAGAAACTAGACATCAAAATACCTAACAATCCAATTAAAAAATGGGCTATAGCGCTAAACAGAAAATTCTCAACTGAAGAATCTCAAATGGCCCAAAAGACATTTAAGGGATTGCTCAACATCCTTAGTCATCAGGGAAACACAAATCAAAACAACTCTGAGATACCATCTTATACCTGTCAGAATGTCTAAGATCAAAAACATTGAAGACAGCTTATGTTGAAGAGGATGTGGAGCAAGGGGAGCACTTCTATACTGTTGGTGGGAATGCAAACTTATACAGCCATTTGGAAATCATTATGGCAGTTTCTTAGAAAATTGGGAATCAATCTTCCTCAAGACCCAGCTATACCACTCTTGGGCATATACCCAAGGAATGCTCAATCATACTACAAGGACACATGCTCAACTATGTCCATAGCAGCATTATTTGTAGTACCCAGAACCTGGAAACAATCTAGATGCCACTCAGCTGAAAAATGGATAAAGAAAATGTGGTACATATATACAATGAAGTACTATTCAGGAGAGAAAAACAATAACATCATGAAATTTTCAGGCAAATGGATACAACTAGAAAATATCATCCTGAGTGAGATAATCCAGACTCAGGAGGACAAACATGGTATGTACTCACTCATAAGTGGATACTAGATGTACAGCAAAGGATAACCAGACTGCAACCCACAGCTCAAGGTAGGCTAGCTAGTAAAGAGGACCCTAGGAAAGACACAGGGATCATTCAATGAAGAAGAAATATATATAAGATATACTTGAGCAAACTGGGTGTGAGGGGGGTGGTAATGGAGGGCAAGGGATGGGGGAAGAGGACATAGGGGAACAGGAGGTTCGAGCTGGAACAGGAACAAAGTGGGAGAGCAAAAAGATACCATGATAAATGAAGACATCATGGGAATAGGGAGAAACAGAGTGCTAGGGAAGTTCCCAGAAATCCACAAGGATGATCCTACCATAGACTTCTGGCAATAGTGGAGAGGGTGCCTGAACTGGCCTACTCTGGTGATCAGATGGCTGAATACCCTGTCATCATAGAGCCCTCATCCAGTGAATGATGGAAGCAGATGCAGAAATCCATGGCCAGGTACCAGGCCAAGCTCCAGGTGTCCAATGAGTGAGGAGGGATTCTATGAGCAAGGGACATCAAGACCATGATGGGAAAAGTACAGAGAAAACTAGCCAAACTAGTGGAAATGCATGTACTATGGACCAATAGCTGAGGAGTCCCCATGGTACTGGACTAGGCCCTCTGGATAGGTGAGACAGTTGTTTACCTTAAACTGTTTAGGGCCCCCCAGGCAGTGGGATCAGAACCCATCTCTAGCACATGAGCTGTTTGGTTTTTTTGGAGCCTAGCGTCTATGGTGGGACACTTTGCACACCCTTGGTGCAGGGAGGAGGGGCTTGGACCTGCCTCAACTTAATGTACCAGGCTCTTTTGACTCCCTGTGGGAGACCTTGCCTTGGAGGAGGTAGGAATGGGGGATGGGTTGCGGGGGAGGCTGGGGGCAGGAAGAGGGAGGACAGGGGAATCTGTGGTTGGTATGTAAAATGAATAGAAAATCTCTAATAATAATAAAAAAATTCAACAACCAAAAAAATTGCAGTGTTTGTTGGGCCAGTAGTAAACATGGGGGTAAGGGTGTGTGTGAAGCTTGGTCTGATTCCTAGCATGTCATGTAGGATGAAGACTGGTGTTCAAGTGAACCTGACACACAGCACTTTATATGGCACTGTGGTTTAGGAGGGGGTTAATGTCCAGCATGTCCCATTAACTAGCAGCAGAGTGTGAAACGCAGTACATTGTGTGGCTGAGGAGGAGTCCAGCAGAACCTGATGTCTAGCAGTGTAGGTGTGTCTCCAGCAGAAGAAGGGTGTCCAGCAATGCTACTTCCCAGCAATTGTGCAAGGACTGATGGGGGAGACATTCCCAGTGTGGTCTAATAGCTGTCATTTAATATGAGGTAGAATGTCAAACAGGACCTGATACCTAGAAGTATATGTGTGGTCACAGGGGTGGCGGTATGTCCAATGTGTTTGTCAGTATGTCAGAGGGGCGCAGTGGAAGAATGGGGTGTTAGCTTATGGGTGAACTGGTGTCCATCAAGGTCTGATCATTCATTTTGAAGTAGGTTGGCAGTGTGGGATATGATGTCTAAGAGTGCTTGACACCTCAGAGTGTGTGTAAGGGTTAGGGCGTCAGCAGAGCCTGATACCTAGCAGTGCGGGTGGGGCAGCGGCAGGGCGATGTGTGCATTGCAGAGCCTTCAGCTAGCCTTGTAGGAGTTGTCATGGAGTGTTGGAATACCCAGCAGGTCTGATATCCAACAGGTGTATATGGGTTGATGGAATATGGTATCCAGTGGTCCCTGATACTAACATTGTAGTTTGTGGTGATGGGGTGTAATGTTCAACAGGGCCTGAACCCTAGCAGTGTATGCGGAATTTCAGGGATGTGAGGGTGTCAAGCGTGGCCCAATAACTAGCAGTGTATTTGGGTACAGTGCCAAGAGAGTGTCCTGTATGGCCTGATAATTAGCCATTAAGGCGGAATTATGTGGGTGACATTCGGGATCCAGACCTAGGAATACCCGTGAGGTGTGTGTGAAGGTTTGTTCAGTGAGTCCCTAGCAGACAATGTGTGGTTTGGTGGGAAGTCATCCATGGTTCCATACTTAGAAGCGTACTAGAAGCTGTGTGTGTGGGGGGGGGGATTGTGGGGGTTGTTAATCACAGTCTGACAGCTGGCAGTGCGGGTGAGGTGGCATGGCTGTAGTGTCCCATGCTGCATTCTACCCAGTGTTGTATGTCAGTGCAGGAGGATTCCAGGAGTGTTTGAACCAAGCAGTAAATGTGCATTCTTGAAGAAGCTGGAGTGTCCATCAGGGCCTGGCACCTTTCACCATAGCTCAGTTGACACTGTGGTTGGAGGCATGTCTAGCAGTGTCTAAAACTCGGCATTGTGTGTGGAACAGCAGATGGAGAGTTGAGTATCCAGGCCTAATACCTAGAAAACTATGTGGTGAGTGTGGGTGAGGGGTGTCCTTCATGTCCTTACACTGACAATGTATGTCAGGTGTTAACGGGGGAGGGGCATGCATAGCACATGTAAGCGTCTAGGTATCAGGCTCTGCTGCTTTTCCCACCTGACTGTACCATCCAATACAGTGCTGTTACCAGATCCAGATGGACAGCTCCTCTCCATCCACACAACGTGAGAGGTGTCATCTCTCATCACACCACACAGCAAACACTACACCTACCCGTAGACATGCAATATACACTGCTATTCACCATGCCCAGTTAAACTCCATATTCCCTCTGACATTGCGGATAAAATGGAACAATTTAGGCCACTAAAAACATCCCCCCTACACACACCACCTACGTCCCCACACTTTTAGATACCCATCCCTGATGGATGTTCCTTCCTGTGTCACTACTGCCTACATCCAGTGCTAGGCTCCTGGTCCTGCAGGATGCACACTTAAAGCCATACTCACACTATGCATCATGTCATTCTGGCCTCCTCAGCTTCAGCCCACATATTGTGCAAGCTGTCAACCTCTCTAGACTGGGTCCATTCTCCATTTCCATCCAAATTATGCAGTAATTTTTAGGGTATGCTGAACACAACCCTGGCTCTCCACCCCTATTCTAAATTTTAGGTATTGGTTCCCAATGTAAACACTCTTGTTACCAGCAATATTCACTGCTAGTTATCAGGCCTGCTTGGTATCCTTTCCCTGGCTGCTGAAATCTCACATGCACTGACAGGTATCATAGTTGTTTTTCAGGCCATGCAAGAACCCTCTGCTCTGTCATGGCTAACAACCTACATGCACTGGCAGGGTTCAGGTGTTGCTGGAACTCACCTCCTTCTCACTGATCCATGTACACTACTCTGTGTGTCCTGATACATCATTCCCTTCCCCAATAAAGTGCTAGGTATCACAGGCCCCATCATGCTGCTGAACACACAGTGCTGGAAATCAGGCCCAGCTGAACACCTCCACTCCATCCACATAAAATGCAATGTATCAGGCCATGATAGACACCACTGTCACTCAACATACACTGCTATTTTATCAGTCCTCATTGGGGATACCAAATCACCGCCACATATAAACTACTAGGTTTCATACTCTGATGGACACTTAACCCTGGAGGTGCTACCATGTGTATAATCCTAGGTTTCAGGCTCTACTTGTTCCCTCCCACACTTAATTCACTTCATATACTCAAGTAGGCATTAGATTCTTCATAATATTTCACCCTGCTTCCACCTGATGTGGACTGCAAGGCTGTAGCAGGGAATCAACCAGCATGGCCTATAAAATAGCAGTGGGCATTGAATGACAATGAGGTGGAGTTTGTGTCCAGCAGGGCCTGGGAAGTGACTCTGTAGGTGGAGTGGGGGAGGGTACTCTAATAGGATTTGATACACATTATATGTAAGGCTTCATAGTCAGTGTCCAGCAAGGCCTGACACAGAGGAAATTACATGGGGCTGCTGGGGAGCTGGTATCAGGCTGGTTCCAATACTACTCAATGCATTTGGGGAAGTATCAGGAGAGACAATGTCACGGAGGACCAACTACTAGCAAGGCTATCTGAGCACAGCAGCTTGGAGGGGACATATTTGTAAGGTCTTGACTCCTACAGTTATATGAGTTTTGGGAAAGGGTCATCCTGAACTGATACCTAGTAATCTATGTGGACTTTGATATGAGTGTGTGGGGGTAACAAAGTGTCGGGTAAGGGCCTACTATCTAATTGTAAATGTGGTTTGTGAGCTGCAGATGTCCATCAGAGCCTGAAACCTAGCAGTTTTGGAGTATGTGGCATGTCTAGACTAGCCTGGTGCCATGTAATCAATGTAGGGCAGCAGGAGTGTGGTGTGTTCTGCATGGGTTGACATCTAGCAGTGTGTGTGGAGCAGAGATGGGAAGTGTGGAGCAGGGATGAGGTGTGTGCAACTCTAGGCTTTCTGGTTTCCAGGAGCAGCAGCATGGAGCGCCACCAGCTCCAGAAAGTCCTATGTATTTCCTATCCTCAACCTCCTTCTTCTACTGGGCTGAGGTTTTTGGGAGTCAAGAACAAACTAGACAGTCAGAGCTGGAAGTGACCCCCCACATTGGATAGTGATCATTCTGCTTCTATCCCACATCTTCATGCAGTGATCTTGTGGGATATGTGAGTGTAAAAGATTGGTGAGCAGAACATATCTGCCCATCTTCCTGGACATTCCCTGGACATGCTACCTCGCAGTGATCCTCCATCTTTGCTTAGAACAGAGATTTTTTTCCGCCCTCTGGGCTGTGACAGGGCCAGACTTTTCCTAGATGCCCTCGAGTATTGTCTTCTGTAGCCCTTCTCCAGCTTCTGTATTTTCTTGACTGATGGATTAAGAGCTCTTGTGTCCACAGTTCATCTTCTCTGTTGTTTCTGATCTTCCTCCTTGTGAGGCAGAAACTTACATAGGTCTCTTCTGTAACTGTTGTGTGAACGTTGCAGAGTTTGGATTTGGGTTCAGGTGTTGCATTTGAGACTGTGTTCAGTTTCCTAATGTGTTCCCTACTGTTTCCTTTTCCATACATGTCCTGCAGTGCTTTGTGGACAGACCATTTCCTCTGCCTTGATTTCCTTGGGGTGCCTCTGACAAAATCACCTGACATAATGTAGGTGGGTCTGTTGATGGGGTTTGTGTTTGATTTCACGTTTCTAGACTCTGTTCCTTCCCCATTGCACTTTCTGGATCTCTGATGGTTTGTGGGAAGTGCTGGGACCAGAAGTGCAGGGTCCAGAGGAATCTCTTCTGCCCTCTACGGTCTCTTCTAGGATTAGATCCAGTTGGTTGTTAGAGTTGGTGTTTCGGCATAGCATTGGCATTTTGCTGGTTCTATACAAGAAAAGATCTGTCACCTTAACAACAGTGACTGCTGCTGAGGAACAGGAGTGTCTGGGAGTTTATATTCCTTTGGATTTTTCTCAGACATCCCAGTTTTCCAATTACCAATTAGAGTAAATTCTATTGGAATTCTACTTCAATATTTTTTTGTTTGTACATTATTTCTATCCAACACCAGTGAGATACAGTACAAGTAGATGGCTTCAACTGCACCATCTTTAAGTTATGGATGGCCTGGGAAATGAGGTCCCAGGACTCTCCCCTTCTCAGGCAATCCAGTCTAGAGGCCATGGAGGGATGAACATTCCCTTCCCTAGACTCTGCTGAGGCATTTTCTTAATCTGCTCAGGCAGGTTTCCTGGGTCATCTGTGAGGACAGAGAGGCATAGGTGACCTTTCTACAATGTCAACATACACACAGCATCAAAGCGGGACAGAGATTCCACACTAAGACACCCACTGGGAGGCTTTCACAAGGGGATCCTCCTGTTGTCCCCAGATCTTGCTGAGAATTTGGGGGTGGTGGTCTGTGGTTGGATGCTGGAACAGAAACCATTTCCTTGCCCTCCACAGAGTATCCTCCTGAGACAGCTCCTCTAGAGCTCAGGAAATGACCTGCTGGTTTTCTTGAGAAGGGAAGTGGGATGTTCTCTCCTGTATCTTTAGCACTGGTGCCAAGTATGCATGTTCTCAGGTCAGGAATTTTCTGGGTATATATTTCAAGATGTGACCAGACACCTACAAGAAAAACAATATTATAAACCAATGAAGAAGCTTGCTGAGAGTTCCACATTTCCAAAGCATAAGATCTTTGGCCTTGGCAGATAATGGCAGGTTTACTTTTAGTGGAACTTAGGGACTAATGAGGTGGGTATAATAATGCCCATTGTATTTCAATGTGACCTTCCCTAGGCCAACATCATTAGGTCCCTTTAGGGACCTCTGACTGCAGGGAATGATTTCTTATGGCTGCCCTGCTACTTTCAGGAGTCCGGCTCTGATAACAAAGAAGGAAAAGCAGTTCTCCAGCATCATGTCTAAACACAGGCACTCTACTTCCTGCACCCCATCTCACACACACTTATCTACACCAGACAGGATACATACTTGGTGAAAATAGGCTTCCATAATAGAACATGTCCAACGAACCTGCAGGTGGTAGGAGAGAAATCATGGCAAATGAGAAATCTGGAAGTGACCATTAGCCCCCCAAGTGACCCAACTGGACCCAACTGGTCATCATGGCTGTGTCAATAGCCCACAAGGTAGAATTTAAGCAGTGTCCCATAAAACATGCTATGTTCAAAAGAGCACCTCGAGGACTCAGCTTCGTCCTCTGTGAGGTGGAGACCTATGGAATGCTTTGAGATGATGTGTGTGAAGATCCTGCCACAGTAGCTACTACTGATGGCACCTGGTACTGCTGCATCCAGCAGACATGCAGTGAAGCGGGGAGGTGATATGTATGGGGGCATGATCCTCATCTGACTTCTCTTCTCCCAGGTCAAAAAAGTTGAAGGCAAAAAAATGCTTCACAGAGTAGGAGATATTCACCAAGTTCCCATCAAACACACAGCAAATCTTAGTAGAAACAGAAAGAAACTTCACATCTGCTCATACTGAGATTTGCCTCCTTAGAGACCATCACATGGGTCTGGAGCCAGGGATGCCCTTGGGCTGTCTGTCCTGGGATTCACTGACCTGGCTACAGCATCCCAGTCTCCCTTCTAAGGCCCTGGCTTCAGTAAAGCACATGGCTCAGTCAAGTAGGTGACTTAGTAGTCAACTACTGATGTAGAGCAGCCATGGGCACATAAGCAAGGAGCTCAGTGAGTCTGGAATGGTTTTCCTTGCAAGTCTGTGTGCACCCTTGTGCTCATGGTTCTTCAGCCCATTACAAAGCAGCTGGCCAGTTGTAGAGTAACTGTCCCCCCATACTGGTGTGAAAAAAATGTTTACCCTGTTCTACACAAACAGTTCCTCCATAACGGTTTGGGGACAGAGTGTCAGAGGGGAGGGATGTGCTACTTGCGTCAAGTCATTTCAAGATGCCTCTAAATCCATGGTTCTGTCGTCTTTCACTACACCTTAGGTCCTCTGCATCTTGAGCTCAATGACCACTTTACTTGGAATTGAAAAAGGCTGGCTTTGGCAGCCTTATGCTTATTTGTCTATAGAGCATTGTCAAGGCTAGACCAGATCTCAGAAGCCTCTCTCATACAACAGGACTAAACTCAGTGATCTCAATTACACTTTCAGCCACCGGACACCTACAGATGAGCCCTAGCATTCAGTCACTTCTGATTGTCCACTCTTAATGGCAGAGAGTAGTGATCTGCCTAGAGGTCCTCCACAACACCACCAAAGACAGCTTTCACAGGAGGACATCAAAGCAGAGAGCCTGGCTGAATGCCACAACTATATGGTCATCAAGGCTCTGTCTAAGCCTGACCTTTGATGTGGGATCTGAATAAAATGTAGTTCCAGGACTACTAAGTTTTTTGTAGCACTGGCTTTAAGCAAGCAGCTCACAACTAAGTTATGTGTCCTCTGTACTCCAGGACAGGAAAGCAATACTCACCTTCCAAAGTGGAGCAACATTCCAGCATTCCATCCACAGTGATACCCATTTCCTTCCAGCCTGCTGTCACTTTCCTGCTAGGAGACAAATATGGATCTGATAAACACCCCACAGTAAGGGTCCTTCACCAACAGTGAGACTGAACCAGCATGCAGTGGGACTGTGTCTCCTGTGATAAGAGGGACAAAGGGACATAGGCAGGCTGCAAACCCAACAGCAGGGAGGGGAGGAGGGGGAGGAGTTTCACCTCTGCCCCAGTGTGAGGAAACATCTCCCTTGGACCTGACCTTGAAGGGGAGACAGATGAATGAGTATTGCTGTAGTATGTCCTTGAAGACTGTCCCACAGGGGCTTCTAATCCACTGGCAACTTTAGGTGGGGTTTTGGCACAAGACTCCACGCTGAGAAAGATGCTATGGAAGGCCAGCCCTAGGACATATCCCTTGTTAACTATGGGTTCCTGTGGTAAAGCCTATGGTAGATGGCTTACCTCTTCCTGCGCTGGATTTTTTGGCTGGGTACGTGGACACACCGCCATCTGGACTTCTGCAGGGCTCCCACTTTGGCTGTCTCAGTCACACCAAGAAAATTCCTACCCAATGTCTGAACCTGCAAAGAGGCTTATCACTTCAAAAGATAATGAAATATGGAAGGCACAGTCTTAAGATCTTTGAAACATATAATACGTAGTCTTGACTCTCATATCCTCCATTTTCAAGTGGCTCCTCTCCTCTTCCTCTTTCTTGGCCTTTGGTGTTTCTTCCCTGAAACCTTCGATCCCCTCTAATTCTTTCCTCCTTTAGCCAATTCATTCTGGCTGCCTCTGCAACCTCTGCTTCTCATGCTCTGCTGTCCACCTTCACCTAAACCATTTCCTGTTACTGGTGGTGCTGCTGTGGGACTGTTCCTTTGGAAAC